AAGATTTGAAGGCTCAGAAACCCAAACAGGGCAGTTCAACTTCATCCTTTAGGGCCTCTGTAAGCCGGGATTGACTCAATGGCAGTGAGTTTTTGTTAGGTCGCCGAAATAGGGACTATTCTGTGGGGGTTGTCTCCCCAGCGCCCGCATAGAGACACAACGAAGGGGTTGGAAAGGAATCAGGCACATTCATTAGACACCTATGGAAAGATCCAAACTGAGCATGCTCAGTCGCAAGCCCCCTAAGTCCAGGTGGGAGGTCCACCTGGGTGCACAGACTAGGCCCAGCCACATGACATCACCCAGGTGCTCTTTAAACTCAGCCAGTGAGGTCGGCCAATACTTTCAACCATACCGGATGAGATAAGAGCCTGTCCCAGGTAGGCCAAGTGTCTGGACTCCTCTCTTGTTCCCATGCTTCCTTGCAGGTGGGGTGGGGGTCAGGGGTTCCACACAGGCCCACCCAAGCCCTGGGGCCAGAGCTCCCTCTCAGGGCACTCTTGGGATTTCCTGCTCTTGGCACCTGGGATCTCCTGTGAATACCTGAAACTTCCCCTTTCCTCTCTACTGCAGATGGCCCTGGAACTTCTCTCCCTGGGTTCCTGCTTCTGAGGTGGCTCTGAGACACAGAGGAAGGGCTTTGATGGAGGTGTGGTTTTTGGCCTTTGAGCAGACTAGACCCTGAAGGGTGGTGATCCAGTTCACACCCTCTACTACGTAGACACTTAAACCTACCTTAATCCTGGCCATTAGCATGGTGGAGAGCGCCATCCAAAATGGGATTATAACCACAGACATAAGGGATTGTGGCTGGAAGGGCCATATTAAGTCATTGACTACATCTTAGGAGCGGAACGATGGGTCTCTAAGTGACAGTCACGTGCTCCACTACTGGTCTAAAAATCCGTGGAATAAACTCACCCAGAAACCTCTCAACAGAGGCCCCATGAGGGCGGGGGCAATGGTGGTGGTGGTGATGTAAACATGGGTTTACTTGTAATTCTTTATTTACTCATCTGAATCGTTTCACCTTTTTCCCACCATAGAAACATGGGAAACTGTTCACTATAGATGGATGCATCTGCTGATTTGTGCTCATTTGTGTTTATCGGTCTGCTGTGAAGTTTCCCAAGTTTCTTTCATGGGAAAATGTGGCATTCACTTAAAGTACTCATTCCCTGTCTGGAATTCCATTGGAAAGGAGGCTTCGGTATGTAGGAAGCTGCTGAGTGACTGGGAGACCTAGAAGCAAACTCTTTGATGGTGGTGGGGGGGGAAAAACAGAAAATGGCTCACGACAGATGACTAAGCAAACACAAGTCAGTCCCTGCTTACCGCTTCTGGAGGGCAATCTGACACTGACCTGGGAGATCTTTGGAAAGATCCCAGCCTTGAAACCCCCAGGAAGCAGTCTGCTTTTCACACTTGGAAACAAACTGAGCCAGAAAGGATGTCAGGCTAACAACTACTACAGGGGTGTAAAGGCCTTCAGAACCCCTGTAAGAGCCAGCCCTTCTGATCATTGGTCCTGGCCCAGCTCCACAGCATCCCCGCCACTTCTGTGCCAACCCACGAACCCTCCTTTCCTAAGACCCTTCTGTCCACTCTTATGATTCAGCCATCGAGGAGGCCCCCCAAGGATCCCTGGCGGCCAAATGGTTTCCGGATTGGGCTGCTAACCACACGGTCGGTGGTTGGATCTCACCAGCTGCTCCGTGGGAGAAAGATGAGACCTCCCTCCCACACAGATGTCAAGTCTCAGAAGCCCAAGGAGGCGGTTCTGCCCTGTCCTCAGGGGGTCGCTCTGTGTCGGAATGGACTCAGTTGCAGTGGGGGGTGCCCCATGGCTGTCTGACACCCACATTGGCACTGAACTCATCTTCTTGCCAAACCTGCTCTATCTTGCCTCCCTATCATCCACCCATTTGGACACCACCTACTTTCCCTTTTCTCAGGCATCTAAGTCCATCTTGTTTTCTAAACGTCTCCAACCTCTCCTTGTGCTTCCAGCTCCCCCACTACTCTATCCCAAAGCCCTCACTTGATTTCCCTACCTTCCTTCACCTTGGACTGGTCCCAGCCTCCGTCCTCTACAGAGCAGCCGGAACCAACTCCCTAGAACCTTACCTGCTCTACAGTCCT